AGGGGCCCCCAGCCCCACCCTGGCTGCTCGCTTGCCGTCCCGTGCAAGACTCCCTCCGAGCTGCGGAGTCTTCTTCTTGTGAGCAAACATTCTACTTAATGCGAGCTCCTGGCATTAAAATTGTGAGCAAGCAATTTGGCTACTGCGTAGATTAGTTTGCTCTGGAGCCCTCCTTCCTGAGCGGAGACAAAAATGTGTGAGCCAGAGGCTGAAAAACTGTGATCTAGCTCACACTTATTCAGCTTAGGGGGAACACTGGTCCATTGGGGTTCCCCGGGGGGCACCTCAAAACGGGGGAAGAGAGAGCCGGGCAGGCAGGAAAGGGGGTCGCTCCAGCATCGGTGAAACATCCCCACTCTACACGTCTGTGTCCCCATTGCCTTGGGCGGGCCATCCAGCCTCTCCGAGGAGGGGAGCTTCACCACCAGCCCCTTCCTCACCCCACGGGACTCTCTGCTTTGAGGCACAGGAGCTCCCGGAGCAAAGTGGCCTTCAGGGCTGGGCCAAGGCAGTGCCCCCCCTCCCCACCAGCAGTGTGAGAGCTGGGTCCTTGTGTGGCGTCTCGGAGGCTGGGGCAGACCGTGGCTTGTGGGTGACAGCTTCCTTGGCAGTCACAAGAACGTCAGAGAAGCCAGTGTTGGATCAGGCCGATGGCCCATCCAGTCCAACACTCCTGGGTCACACAGTGGCCAAAAATACCAGGGGCCCTCAGGAGGTCCACCAGTGGGGCCAGGACACTAGGAGCCCTCCCACTGTTGCCCCACCCCCCAAGCACCCAGAATACAGAGCATCACTTGCCCCAGACATAAGAACAGAAGAGAAGCCCATCCAGTCCAACACTCTGTGCCACACAGTGGCCAGAAATACCGGGTGCCATCAGGAGGTCCAGCAGTGGGGCCAGGACAATAGAAGCCCCTCCCACTGTTCCCCCCAAGCACCAAGAATACAGAGCATCACTTGCCCCAGACATAAGAACAGAAGAGAAGCCCATGTTGGATCAGGCCAGTGGCCCATCCAGTCTAACATTCTATGTCACACAGTGGCCAGAAATACCGGGTGCCATCAGGAGGTCCAGCAGTGGGGCCAGGACAATAGAAGCCCCTCCCACTGTTCCCCCCAAGCACCAAGAATACAGAGCATCACTTGCCCCAGACATAAGAACAGAAGAGAAGCCCATGTTGGATCAGGCCAGTGGCCCATCCAGTCTAACATTCTATGTCACACAGTGGCCAGAAATACCGGGTGCCATCAGGAGGTCCAGCAGTGGGGCCAGGACAATAGAAGCCCCTCCCACTGTTGACCGCCCCCCAAGCACCAAGAAGACAGAGCATCACTTGCCCCAGAACCCCTATCTATACCTTGTGGCTAAGAGCCACTGAGGGACCTCTGCTCCATATCTTTATCCAATTCCCTCTTGAAGCCGTCCATGCTTGTAGCCGCCACCTCTTCCTGTGGCAGTGAATTCCACGTGTTAATCCCTCTTCGGGTGAAGAAGTCGGGAAAAGCTTGCTCCTTGGTTTGCTCGTGCAGTCTGGTGGCCCTGGAGGAGGGAGGGAGGGAGGAAGAAGGGGGGTGCCACCCCAGGAAGAGGGCCGGGGGCTAGCCCGGCTGCTCCTGCAGAGCCCCCAGCACCCGGGGAGGGGGTGTTGAGGCTGCTGGGGCCAGGGGGCCTTCATGCATGCAGACATCCCCACCCACCCGCCCCCGGGCGTGCTGCCTCCTTCCCGCTCCCTAGATCTACGGCATCCAGGGCATCAACCCCTACGAGTGCCTGCGCCAGTCCTGCAACATCCTCATTGCCACCATGAACAAGATGGCCACGGCCATGCAGGAGGGCGAATATGATGCCGACAGACCCCAGAGCAAGGTGAGGAGGCCACGCGTGGGCCGCTGGTCGGGCTTCTGGGACTGGGAGGGGGGACGGGACCCCTGTGTCCTCAGCCGCGCAGGGCCTCTCCTGGCTCTTTGGGCCGTGCGATGGCTGGAGAGGGAGGGGGTTCAGGGTCCCCGCTTCCCCTCCCGGGTCAGCCCACACGGATTCCTCCTGCAGCCACCTCCCCCGGTGGAGCTCCGAGCAGCCGCCTTGCGGGCCGAAATCACCGACGCGGAGGGGCTGGGGCTCAAGCTGGAGGATCGGGAGACCGTCATCAAGGAGCTGAAGAAGTCCCTCAAAATCAAGGTGAGCCCGGCCCCGAGGAGGGCTCCCCCGAGCCCGGTTCCCCCTTCCCGGTTCCCCATTCCTGGAAATGGACTGGGGGTGGAAAGATGCTGCCCTGGAAGCCCCGCCCCAGGCCCCGCCCCCAGAGGTGTGGGCGGCAGGCCCCGTTTCCCGGTGGCACTGGGGGTGGGTGCTGCTCTCCCCTCCGCCTCCACGCCGCCAGCCCTTGTGCTCCGCAGGGCGAGGAGCTGAGTGAGGCCAACGTGCGGCTCAGCCTCCTGGAGAAGAAGCTGGACAGCGCGTCCAAGGACGCCGACGACCGGGTGGAGAAGATCCAGGCCCAGCTGAGCGAGACCCAGGCGCTGCTGAAGAAGAAAGAGAAGTGAGTGGGGGGGTGGGGCTCCTCCTGGGCTCTCGTGGGGCTCACGCACACAGCCCCCTTCGGCATGCCATCCGAGAGAGAGGGAGAGAGAGAACAGGCAGGCGGTTCCCCCAGTCCTGGAGAGAGGACCGGGCTGGCTGGTGGACGTCTCCTTGGATCTTCTGCCTCTTTGATAGGCTGGTCTGGTCACACGAGGCAGAGGAGGTGGGCTTGGTGGGCTTAGTCCAGGGAGAAGCCGAGGGGTTTTCCCCCCCAGGCAGAGGAGGATGGGAACCAAGGAAGGCCAGACCTGGCCAGGGAAGCCCCCGCCTCTGGCAGCAAAGGAGCCCTCCCCCTCCCCCCCCCCCCCCCCCGGCCTCTGGGTCCTCTGCCAGCCGCTCCAGCTAGTGTCAGCGTGTGTGTGTGTGTGTGTGGTGCTCTCGCTGCCTCACTCTCTCCCCTGCTCTGTGCCCCCGCAGGGACTTTGAGGAGACCATGGACGCCCTCCAAGCGGACATCGACCAGCTGGAGTCGGAGAAGATGGAGCTGAAGCAGCGGCTCAACACCCAGTCGAAGCGCACCATTGAAGGCCTGCGTGGAGCCCCCGCCTCGGGCATCGCCTCCGTCCTCTCCGGCATCACAGGAGGTGCGGCTGCTGCTGCCCAGGCCACGGCCCTCTCTTGTCGTGGGAGCCAGGCCAGGGCCAAAGCCTGGGACGGGGAGGGGGGGCCGGGTCGTTGTGTCGTGGTGTGTTCCCCCCCCACACACACACCGTTTTGTGCTGCTGCCGAGAGGACTCCGTGCCGCATCTCCTGGGAGAGCTTTTAGCCCCGCACCGGGCGGGGGGGGGGCTGCTCGGGGCATCGGGCGAGAGGCTGGGAAATGGGTGCAGGAGCTTCTCTGGGCGCGATCCGTTTGGTTGCTGTTTGCAAGGAGGCAGGCAGCGGGGGGCCCAGCAGCACGTGCAGCGCGTGGACGGATGGGTCTTGGCTCTTCTGGTGAAGGGCCGGAGAGCCCGGGATTGTGGGGGATGCTTTCCGTCGGCAGGACCAAAAAATTCAGGATTTCCTCTTGAAATGTGAAATCCAGCTTTGCGATCTGCTTGAAAAGGCCCCCAAAGGGGAGCTCTCCAGCCCCTGGCCACAGATGGGGGGCAGGTATGGCTCTTCCTCCGCCTCTGTCTCCTCCGGGCCCTCCCCTGCCCAGCTCTGCAGTCCCCCCAGAGCAGCCCCCCCCCGCTTAGCGGTTTCCCTTTGCAGCAGGGGAGGGTGCTGTGCTTTGGATGGGGAGCACTGAGGAGGGGAGGGGAGGGGAGGGAGGCTCTCTGGAGTGCCCAGCCAGGGCCACATCCATCTCCAGCCAGTCCCTAGGGGGAAAGGGATGGGGGGGAGCTGAAAGTGAACCCCTGGGGCCAGCAATGTTCCCTCCAAGCTGTGGAGTCCTGTGAGCAAAATTTCTACTTTGTGAGCTACTGACATTAAAGTTGTGAGCGAGCGATTTGGCTACTGTGTGAATTAGTTTGCTCTGGAGCCCCATCCTTCCTGAGCTGAGACAAACAATGTGTGAGCCAGAGGCTAAAAAACTGTGAGCTAGCTCACACCAACTCAGCTGAGAGGGAACACTGCCTGGGGCTGACTCTGTCGGAGGTCTCCTGCCAGCAGCCCCTTTTGATTTTCCTTCACTGGAGGCAGGCAGGCAGGCCTGGTTGGCTTGGGCCCTGCAGAGACCGGCCTGCGGCCCATGGAGATGCGAGCCCAAAGGGCTGAGTTTGCCGCCGTGGCCTCTCCCAAGAGCGTGCGCTTCCTCCGTGCCACTCACACTTGGATGGCGGGGCCTGGGGTGTGTGTGTCTGGCCTCCTCGCAGGCACCACGGCTGCGGCCCTGTCCCCTCGTGTGCCCCCCCAGCCCCTCACTCTGCCCAGCACTGCCTGGGGGAGGGGTGTGGGTGTGGTCCGTGGCCGGGAGCATGGGCAGTGGGGAGGGGAGAGAGAGGAGCATGTGAGAGGGGGGTGCCTCTCTCCGTGGCCAGGCCCGGCTCTCCCTCCCTCCCTCCCTCCCTCCTTCAGAAGCCCTTTCGTAATCCTGCGGCTTCTCCTCTCTCCCACGCTCGCCCTGCAGAGGAACAGCAGCGCCGACCCCCCCCCCAGGCTGAGGGCCCCCTTGTCTGTGAGGGCGGGGCAGGGGGGACCGGGAGGGAGGTGAACCTTGGGGGACTCTGGGCCAAAGGAGGCCCTCCCAGCAAGCCCAAGGAACGTGGGAGGGGAGAGGGGCATTCGGCAGGGGACATTGATGGGGGGGGCTGGTGGTCCTGGGCTGGGCACAGGCCGTGGCCACAGGTGCATCCTAGGCAAAGGGGGGCATCCCTCGAGTGCATGACTTGGTGCCCTTTTCCGAAGGGCTCCCGGCCCTGCCCCGCGGCCCAGTGTGCGGGTGTGTTTGCATGCTCTGACTCTCTGGCCCCGCTGGCCAGCTTGCGACCGGAGCTCAGTGTGTGTGCCTGCCCGCGTGCCCCAAGACCCTCCTCCTCCTCCCCCCCTCCGAGCTCTCCCCCCCGCGTGCGGGCCCCACCATCTCCCCCCTTTGCCCCCTCTTGCAGGTGTGGGCGCTGGCCAGGTGGTGATGATGGGCGGATCGGGCCCCGTCCAGGTGAAGGACTCCCCGCTCCTCCTCCAGCAGATCGAGGCCATGCAGCTCTCCCTCAAGCACCTCAAGAACCAGAACAACCAGCTCAAGGTGCGGGGGGGGGGGCGGCGGCCAGACCGCCCGCTGGGGCAGCTCAGCCGCTGAGCCCTGATGGGCTGAAGGGGGGCCGGTGGGCGTGGGGGCGGCTGGGGTGAGACGCGGGTTCCAGGGGCGGGGGGGTGAGCGGCTCTGAACTGGGGGCCGGCCCGGAGGGGGAGGGTGTTTCCAAGAAGGGGCGAACCCCGGAGCTCCGCTGACGGTCCCCTTCTCCCCCCCCCCGCGTGCAGGGGGCCCAGATGCGGAGGGAGCTGGCATCGCTGCCCGTGCTGCAGGTGCCCAAGCTCTCGCTTCCCAAGGACAGGCCGGCGGAGGAGGTGGCCTCCGGCTCACTGTACCGCAAGACCAGCCAGCTGCTGGAGACCCTCTACCAGATGAGCGCCACCTCAAAGGTGGTGGATGTCACGCGGCAGAAGACAGGTGTGTCCCTTCCTCCCAGCCCTCTCCACTCCTGGGGGGGGGGGCGGCGGCCTGCGGGGCCCCGGTGGCAGGCAGAAGGAAAACGAGCCGTGTCTCCCCCCCCCTTTATCCCCTTGTGTGTGCAGCCGTCAGCCCAGCAGCCCAACTCCTAGAGCAGACGGGACGCCTGAGGTCACTGAGCGAAACCATCGAGAGGCTGAAGGTAACTCCGGGGGGTGGGGTTCTCCTTGAAGGGGGCCAGCCTGGCCAGACCCTGGGCTGACAAAAGTGGATCCTGGCGCTCTTCGCATGGCCTCCCTCTCTGCCTCATGCCCCCCCCCCGGGTGGGGCAGCTGGGAGCGCCCCTGGCAGGCAAGGGGAATGGCACGGCCACACCTGGTCTGAGCAGGCCCCCGGGAAGGGTGGCGCTGAGCCAGGGTGCCGTGGCACAGGCTGCCTGGGCCGGATGGCGCTCAGGGCTCGGTTTTCTTCCCTCCGGCAGGATGAAGTGATGAAGGAGACGGTCCTGCAGCACCCGGGAGCCAGCGTCCCCAGCGACTTCGGCACTTTCCCGTCTGCCCCCTTCCTGAAGGTGTGAGGGCCCGGGCCAGGGAGTGGGGTGGGCAGAGGGAGGGGGGCCCTCCCTCCATGCCTCTGGCCCTCCTCCTCCTGATCCCTGCTTCTCCCCTCCCCAGGCCAAAGAGGAGCAGAAGGAGGACACCGTCTTCATTGGCAAAGTGACCTTCCCCTGCCAGCCGGGCCACGGCCAGGTGCACCGGCTGGTCCTCACTCCGGAGCAGCTGTACAAGCTCCACAACCGCCTCATCTCCTAAGAGGGCTTCTCCCCGGGCACAGCCCACCCCTGCCAGCCTGCTGCCCGTGACACAAGAGACTGCCCTTGGCTGCGGCCCTCTCCCTCCCCCTCCCTGTGCCTGAAACGCATCCCCTGGCCAGGCCCGCCGCCCCGCTCTCCCTTGCCCCCGGGTCCCAGCTAGGCGTCCCTCCCCATGCAGAGGGTTCTGCTGGCCGGGGACGAGGGCCCTGGCCGCTCCCTAGGCAAGGCTGCTGAGGACCCAGGGCCTGGGGGCATGCCGTGATATGGGGCACACCTGGCCCCGGGGTCTCCCCAAGCGCCTCCCTTCCCTACAGCCTGTCCTTGTGGTGGTTCCTCTGCGCAGCTCTCTCTTCAGCACTTACCAGAGGGACAGGGAGGGAGGGAGGGGGGATCTGGCGTTTCCTTTGGGGGCAGAAAAGCTCCTTGTATGATGAGCTCTTCGGATAAATAAACTCTCTCAACTCTGCGTCTCCGTGCCCCTTCACTGCCTGCCCGGGTCCTCCGCTGCCCAGGCCCACAGGGGCAAGCGACAGGAGGTGGTCCGCTCTCTTCCCCCGACCACCTGCTTCACACACAGCCAGCCAGTTGCCTTGGAGGGGCCGACACACCGGGCGTGGGGGTGGAGACACCCTCCCCTCGGCCTTCACTGGCCTTGCCTTCCTCTGCGCTTTTTTGACCTTTGCTCTGACCTCGGGTGACCATAACTGTACACAGTATTCCAAGTGAGGCTGCACTGTAAGGCATTACAATATTCCTAATAATCCCCAGCACGGAGTTTGCGTTTTTTACCCCCCTCACACACTGAGTCAGTGAGTTCATTGACCGATCCATTACAACCCCAAGATACCCCTTTAATTCTCAGCCAGTTTGGTGTCGTGGTTAAGTGCGCGGACTCTAATCTGGGAGAACTGGGTGTGATTCCCCACTCCTCCACTCACAGCTGCTGGGTGACCTTGTCAGAGCTGTTCTCTCAAGGGCAGTTCTCTCAGAGCTGTTCTCTCAAGGGCAGTCTCTCGAAAGAGCTCTCTCAGCCCCACCTGCCTCACAGGAAGGGAAAGGGGTTTGTAAGCCGCTCTGAGACTCCGAGTGAAGGGCGGGGTATCAATCCCATCTCTTCATCTCAGTTAAAGTTGGGACTTTTTTTGTTTTAATAGGTATGACCTTACAGCTGCCAGCACTGAGCTTCATTTGCCACATGGCTGTCCACTTGCCCCGAGATCTTCCCCGGGGCTGTTCACAATCCATTTTGGTTTTCACCATCATGAACAATAGGGGGGTCATCTGTCAACCTGGCCTCTACACCACTCGATCCCAGTGCCAGATCTTTAATGAACAAATGTCAGTCAGTCCCTTTATTGGCATAGATTATAAGCATAAACAACAGAAAAATCAGTTTTTAACATACAGAAAAAGGAATTGTCCGTCAAAAGATTTCATTCTCTGCTCCCTAATCCTCATAACAATTCGAAGATGCCTTGCTAATGTGAATGGGTAACGTAGGGATGCTGGTCCGGCAGAAGAAGAAAATCAAGCCACGGAAACTATGCAAGAGGGGACTAATTAAAAAATCCTACACTTTAATATAGAAATCACAGTAGAGCAAAATATGGGCTACCGAATCTGGCTTTCTACTTCTACATAAGCAGAGTCTTTCATGATAGGGGACATTTGCAAATCTCCCTGAGACAACTGCTGATGAAAGGACATTGAATCCTGCAAGCATAAAAGCTCAACATAATTGAGATGTAAGGTGTGAAAAGTAGGCAGCTAGAAGCCCATAACAAGGTGTGATACTGAACTGCAAAGGGGAGCATGTCCTACTTGCTAAGGAATAGAGTTTGTTTTTTGATGTCCAGAAGTTTCTGTTTCAAAGTTCTAAAAATGTGGGATGCTTCTGACATAAGAAGAGAATTGAAGGGGATTCCTATAGGGTGTATTTTCTGCAAAACTTAGTGTGACCAAGTAGATGAAAAAGCGTCAACATAAAAGGGGCATAAAACTCGTAGATTCTGCCCCATACTGAAGGCGTAAGCAAAACGTCAAGGTCAGGAGCCCAGCTCTAGTCGGCTCTAACCCTGCTGCATCCCTTACAGGATGTGGCGCATGAACATTGCCTGGATTTGCTCAACATGTTGATTGAAAATGCTAATCCAAATGAGAATCCCATAAAGTATTTGGGATGCTGATATAGCATTAAAAACACGAATCGCCGCAGGTACAAATTGGCTACTCTTCAAATAAAGGAAGCTTGCAATCATGGACAAGCTACATTTGGCCAAGTTTATTACTTGTTTCTGCTGTGCTATCCAACTGTTAATACACTGAAAGAGAACTCCCAAATATTAAAAATATTTAACCTTATGAACAAATAAAAACACACCGGTCCCAGTACCCAGCCCTTGTGGAGCCGTGCTGCACTTTTGACTTCAGTACCAGAACTGTCCATGTTCCCTCAGCACTCCTTATTTCTTTATACCTTAAGTTTTTGTGAATTTATTCTAATTGGCCTGTAATTTCCTGAGTCCCTCGGGAGCCCTTTTAAAAACCGGTGTAACATTGACCACATTCTGGTCCTCTGGTATGGAATTTTAGCAACGAGCGCGGTGTAACATTTGACCACATTCTGGTCCTCTGGTATGGAATTTTAGCAACGAGCGCGACTTACACAGATTAGAAGGTCAGCAGGGAGTTCTTTAGGAACCCTTGGGGTATATATGCCATGCCGATCGGCAGGCTTGCTGGTTCTCACTTGGCCCAGGAGTCCTGGAGTGTCATCACTCAGTCACCTCAGTCTGACTCAGTGCTTCACTCTTCCCAAAAGCAGCAGCTCTGGTAGTGAAAACAGATGCAAAGAATTCATTTTTCTGACCATCTCCCTGTCTTCCTTAAGCCATCCAAAGGCCTCTGGAGCCGCTTTCCTGTTATGGAAACATTTGAAAAATGCTTACTATTGGTCTTAAGGGTTTTGGACCATCTGCTCTTCCCTTTGCTTGTTTTATTGACTACATATGCTTGTTCTGTCAGAACCTGTAGTCCTTTTCTGTTCACAGTGGCCATGTTGGTCTGAACTAAAACAGCTCAATTCAAGTCCAGCAACACCTTGGAGACGAACAAGAGTTCGAGGGTCAAGAGTCAAAGCTCCCGTCATCAAAGCTCTGAGGTGCTGCTGGACCTGAATCCACCTGCAGCCCCTTCCGTGCACCTCATCTGGGGAAGCCTTTGAAAGGAGGCCTTTTGCCTTCTATGGTTTTCTTCACCCGAGCCATTCACCGACACAGACAGACATGTTAAGTTTGTTGGTACTTTTCTTAACCTGAGGCATGCACTCTATCAAGGCTTCGTTTTGGTGCAGGGGGTGACCGTGGTCCTGGTGTGAGAACTTTTTTTCTCTGGGGGGGGGGGACTCTTTATGGAGATGGAAATATTTTTTTGGTTGATGTCCACACTTCAGTGGGAAAACTGCCTGCTGTCATACTGCGTGCTGCCAGCTATACATTTTTACAGTTCAGGGGCTGGGTGCACGGGTGTTCACCCCTCTGGGAACTTCGAACCTGCTCTGGGGTAAGGAGAGGAGGGCGTTTTAGCAGCCCAGCTAGTCAGCGGGAGCCTTGTTGAAAGAGGCCTCCCAGGCCACCCCTAGCAGGAGAGCCGCAGGAGGTTTCCAGGCCCAGAAGCTGGCTCCCTGTCCTCCAGTCTCTATTCGGCCTGGGCCTGCAGCAGCTGTACACACACACGGCTGCTGCTTGTGCAAGATGCGCTAATGCTGGACACTCTGTTGAAATCTCTCCAGCCCTGGCCCTCCCAGGGAGAGAAGACCCCCTTAAGCATGAGGCTCGACAACGGAGGTCTCCCGGGATCTTGGCTTGTGCAATTAAACAAGGCCACGTGGGGAGAAAGGACGGACGGCCCTGTCCGTGCTCTAGCAACTGCTGTAACCAAATATGTTAAACTCCGAAAACGGGCTGCATCTCAGAGACTCCTAAATCACCTAAAAGTTCCACCGGTAAGAATGAACAGCTGAAACTCTATTGGAAACAAGATACAACGCTGTAGTCAAACACAACACCAGTATCAGTGAACCCACACAAATTACAAGAGTCCCGTTGCCAAGTGACCCCCTAGGATGCAGTTAAGCAATCAAACTAGCTGAGGCATCCTATGCACTGGGGAACACTAATGTTCAGAAATCACAATTACAATGCAGAGTGGGACGTACTAAAGCGAAGGACAGCGGTTGCCCATCGGGAATACATGCGTGCCCATAGAGAATAAGGGAGAGTAGGCTTGCCCGGAGGGGGTGGTGCAGTGCGTCATTGCCCATGGAGAATCCATGATTGCTCACAGGGACATAATTGCCAACAGAGAATCCATGATTGCCCAAAGGCGATATTGCCCGGAAGTCATTCTGGCTCCCCCAGGCCTCGGGAGGGGCTCTTTAAACAGTTATACCCCCCCCCCGCCCCCGCCGCCGCTTTTCGG